GCCACGGTCTCCTGGGGCTTCAAAGTGTCAATAATACGTCCGGATTCCTTCCGCTGAGAATTATGCAAAGGGATTTATAATTCATAAATAAAGATGACATGATTATTGCTGCCGCCGTAACGCAACAGGCTTCGCCCTCAACTTGCTGCGTCAACAGCTCCCGACTCCCCTCTCACTTTTGGGGGGGAACGAACAAAACCTGCTGCAAGCGTCTTCTCGCTCCGAGATGCCATCCAGCCACGCCAAAACGAATATGTCAGCTGCGCAAAGTCAAGTGACGGCGGCACCGCGCTGAACGCTGCAGGCTGAAGAGGGCTCAGGGTGGCGTTGCGTTTGCTGTTCTCTCTCCTCCCTCTCTCTTTGTGTTATCGTGGGACTGAGTGACTCGTTTAGGTCCGCTTTCTTTTCAAGTGAGCTTTTACTACCTTCCATAATTACGTCCCAAAGCAAAACGGACTTTATAGCGCTTGCTTCTCGGACTCTCCAGAGGAAGAGACTCATCGCCGCTGTGGTTGGAATCGTCATGGTTTTGACTCTCCTTATCGTGATTCCCCTGTTAGTCCAAACCTCTAAGACCGATGCGCACTACGAGATGATGGGCACCTGTCGGATGATCTGTGACCCGTACAACCCCAAACCTAGCACCGCGGCTTTGGAGGTCATGCAGGACCTGAGCGCCATTCCATCCCCCAGCTTTGTTCAAGGAGCTAAGGGCGAGCCAGGTCGGCCGGGGAAACCGGGGCCGAGGGGACCGCCTGGCGAACCGGGACCACCGGGTCCGAGGGGGCCACCAGGGGATAGAGGATATTTTGGAAAGCTCGGGTATTCCGGAGTAGTGGGCACAGCGCGGACTGAGACTGCCGGAGAATTGGGCACAGCTATCGGCGGGGCAAAGATAGCGTTTTATGTGGGACTGAAAAATCCTCACGAGGGATACGAAGTGCTGCGCTTCGACGACGTTGTCACGAACCTGGGGAACCACTATGACCCGACGACCGGCAAGTTTACATGCCAGGTGTCCGGGATTTATTACTTCACCTATCATGTGCTGATGCGCGGAGGGGACGGGACGAGCATGTGGGCAGACTTGTGTAAAAACGGGCAGGTAAATACCCAACTGTTTGTTAAAAACACGTGCTTTGTAAGCGCAAATGTAAACTCTTAGTGATTGTTTATTGCATGAATGGACTTCACAACGGAGCTGTGGTGCGCAATTACGCACTCTCATTTCAAGTCAAGAGTCTAGTGAGGAACTATGTTCTGTATTCTGAATGGGTTGTTCTCGCTTTACGCTTAACCTGTCATGATTTGAGTAATGCTAATTATCTCCAATTATCTCTCATGCAGGTCCGGGCCAGTGCTATAGCGCAGGATGCAGACCAGAACTACGACTATGCCAGTAACAGCGTCGTCCTACATCTTGATTCCGGGGACGAGATTTATGTAAAGCTGGACGGCGGCAAAGCGCACGGTGGAAACAACAACAAATACAGCACGTTTTCAGGTTTCCTTCTGTACCCGGACTAATTTGGGAACGTCTACCCACTCCAACAGGCCGTGCGAGAGAAAAAAGCCTCTAAACACAGCTCATCAAACTGATGGAAGAAAGCTGCCACCCAACAACAAAACCCTCGTCATTGTACTCACTTTTAAAAATCTTTCTTTCTTCAAAGGATATGGATTCTTCTTTTTATTTAAATTCTAGGAGTTCCCTTTTAAAACACGGGTGCTAATTATTTTTCCGTATCCTTTCCAGTGCATAGGAACCCCTTTGAAACACATTTCTGCTGGAGAATTCAGCAAATCATATATATATATACATACATATGTTAGGAATACAGACTCTGTGTGTGTGTTTATAAGTGTGTGTTTACAGTGCAGATATTTAAACAATTAAACTGTGTGGATTTTGTGCATCACCGTGTCTATGGCTTCACTGTTGATGAGCCCCCCATCCCCTATACAGAAGTTTTATGTATTTATCTATTCAAGAAGAAATGACTAATATAAGCTGTAATTAACTGTCCATCTGTTGTTGCACGAATGTGTCCAGATTGCTTCACATTCCAGTGAAAGTGTTGGTCAGTAATTTCAATAAAAGATTGTTTTCTATGATGGTATGGAGGGTTGTGACTGTCAGTAATAACAGCATGTTGTAGACATAGTGGAACCCCTGTGAGCAGGTGAAATGTACTAAATACATAAGAAAAGTAGGTTATATACAAATATATCAGAAATATATTGGAAACAAGACGTTAATAACAGTTAAGAACAGGAGCAGGCAACCTTTCTGATGATGAGTGCCATCTAAAGTTTCCTCAGAAGTCAATGTGCTCTATATCAACAGTTACACACTATATAGAATTATATTTGTGCGCAGATGTTGGCAGCTGTCAGCGAATAGTTTTCAGCTATTTTGAAACAAAAAAAGACTTTTTATCCATAACAGCAAATGAACTGTACAACAGAAAATACAAATGCTATTTATGGTCTCCTCACAACAATGATAAGAAAAATAAACTGGGCCAATATGACATGTTTGTTAATACAGAGACACACATGTTAATCTGATCTCTGGTCTGCGAGTGTCCAGCATTCAGAGGCTACCTGAGGACTCATGTGAGAGAAAACCTGCTCACACAAATATGTAGAGCCAAATACTGTCAATAAGGCCTCTGCAATGTTCTGAAGACAGTTAAACTTGTCAGGTAGTGATGTCCAGCAGGTGAACATGCAGCTCCATGAACACGCACAGCTGTGGATTCCAGCTGCTTCTGTAGTTCTGCAAACTTTGACCCCCACAGAGTCGAGCTTTTCAGTTCAATCAGCTGCATTTTGATGTCCTCTGTGTCCAGCCAGTTAATGCGAGACAAACCAGCTGTTCATTAAAGATTTCTGGTTTGATCAGAAAAGAAAACATTGGTCCAAACACCTGAAAGTCACGAAAACACTTTGTGAATTCTAAGTTATTTTTAGCCAATTAAAAGTTGAATCTGGTAGTTGGGGTTGTTAGCTTAGAT